TTCTTTTGTTTTTTTAACTCCGTGAATTGTACTGATTTTATGAATTAATACATTTATTTGTAATTTTTTATGGAATCGGCATCGGCATCGGCCGATTCTTTCCCCATAAGCCGATTAATCGGCATCGGCATCGGTACCTGAAAAAAAAATTGGAATCGGTCGGACTCTACTGTTTATTATACTAAAATTTAATGGACTATAAAATTGCATACCAAACATTTTCCCCAAAATTCTGATTCCAAAGTTTGAAATTTTGGTAAAACTGTAAGGAATTTTATTAATTGTTGCACAAAGTTTGAAATTGGGATTTACATGGATTTCGTTAGACTATAAGCGGGACTTTTATAAAAAAATTAATAAGCTTTAAAGAAAAAAAGAAAAATATGTCGCGACACTATTAAATGTTCATTAATTTACTTAAATTCTTGTTTATTTAATTATTAAACCTTAACATTTTTACTTTTATTATTTTATGTGGAGATTTTTTTGTGGAAAAAGTTTCATGATTTAAAGCTCTAGTTTTCTGTAAAAGTTATTACATATAATGAAACACATGCAATATAAACATATCTACAACAAAGACGTTACCTTTTACATTGTGAGTTATGGCNATATCGTTATATGGGATGTGGGCGTGGTTATTATCAGATTTTCTAAATTTATGCCGTTTGGCGTGTTTTGTGAAGGCCCAACAACTGTGCCAAGTTTGGGAGAAATTGGTGGAGCGGTTCCCAAGATATACACATGTAATCATAAGTGGGAGTGGCTACGTCCATTTTCAGTACCATCCGTCCACCGCTCAAAAGAAGTACAAATACCCAGTTTCGTTAAGATATCTCAATTTGTACTCGAGTTATCGTGTGCACAGACGGACGGACGGACGGACAGACAGTCACCGCTTAATCGATTTCTCTTTTCATTCTGATCATTTATGTATATATTTGCCTATATCTTTCTCGTTTCGTTTTGGCTGTTACAAACAACCGTTATGTGAACAAATTTATAAAACCCTTGTGCACAAGTGCGCTCGGGTATAAAAATACTTCACATCCGCATTCGTATCCGCATCCACGGATGTTATCGTTTAAACATCCGCATCCGCATTCGCATCCGCGGATGTCTAAAATTCCACATTCGCAACATCCCTGGTGCATGCGTACCTAGCATATAAGTTCTTATGCATTGAGTGCAAAAGAGTGTATTTTAGTACAAAACGAAATGAAATATTATGTTCCTAAATATTTTTTGCTTAGCACCATATAAAAAAGTGTTTTATGTAATGTACATAAATGTGATATATGCACATATATTTTTACACATACATATCATACATACATGTGTATGTAATGTTGATAACAAGCCAATTAATTCAATTTCTTTTCTTTTGTTTTTTTAACTCCGTGAATTGTACTGATTTTATGAATTAATACATTTATTTGTAATTTTTTATGGAATCGGCATCGGCATCGGCCGATTCTTTCCCCATAAGCCGATTAATCGGCATCGGCATCGGTACCTGAAAAAAAAATTGGAATCGGTCGGACTCTACTGTTTATTATACTAAAATTTAATGGACTATAAAATTGCATACCAAACATTTTCCCCAAAATTCTGATTCCAAAGTTTGAAATTTTGGTAAAACTGTAAGGAATTTTATTAATTGTTGCACAAAGTTTGAAATTGGGATTTACATGGATTTCGTTAGACTATAAGCGGGACTTTTATAAAAAAATTAATAAGCTTTAAAGAAAAAAAGAAAAATATGTCGCGACACTATTAAATGTTCATTAATTTACTTAAATTCTTGTTTATTTAATTATTAAACCTTAACATTTTTACTTTTATTATTTTATGTGGAGATTTTTTTGTGGAAAAAGTTTCATGATTTAAAGCTCTAGTTTTCTGTAAAAGTTATTACATATAATGAAACACATGCAATATAAACATATCTACAACAAAGACGTTACCTTTTACATTGTGAGTTATGGCGATTTCGTTTCTACCAAAAAATGTTGCCCTTGCACGGTGCAAAATGTGTTTAATGTTACCCTCAACCCTTTGAAAATGCATGTTTTGCCTTCTTGTCCTTGTCCAGATCACACATTTCATCATATTATCGTTTTAAGTAACCATCTGATTTTCAGGGCAACCATCTCCCCTGACAAAGCTTCAAAGGGTAGAAAAGGTGCCTTTTCATTTCATTTCCATTTCCATTTCAAGAAACGAACACACAATTTTCTCACCCGAACACGAAAAGAGAAAAGGGCAATCAAAAGGCGACATTTTTTAGTAGAAACGAAATCGCCATTAGGTATTTGCCCATATTTTGTTACACGTGTATTATAAAAAATTTCACACAAACGCGTTTCAACATAGATATGGTACATAAAAATCATACCTAGATATGGCAATTCCTCGATAGTATCGAACTTCAAATATGACCGATAGTGGTCGCCAGCGATACTTGCAATAGTGATGTCCCATCGTTACTATCGATAGTGCCATCGATAACTTGCCACCATTACAACAAACACATCATCTTTATTTTTTTTAATTAAGATTTTTGGGAGACTTTTTGTGGCAATACTGCTTACCACTACAGTTGTTAATATTTTATTGGTTTAATTTTTGGTTAATAGATTTTATAAAAAGAAATCTTAATTTAGCTTCAAAATAATTAAATATCTATTCTAATCTTTTGGCGATCCTGCAAGTCCGTAAGTTAACCGCAAGAGAAATATACGCGCATACTGTCGGCCGTTGTGGTGTAGTGGTAAACAATGCACGCTTCCACTCCGCGCACCTGGGTTGAAACCCTGGTCGAAGCAACATCGCAAAAAAATATAGAAAAAAGGTTTTCTCTTAATAGCGGTCGCCCTCGGCAGGCAATGGCAAACCTCCGAGTGGTTCTCTGCCATGAAAAACAGCTTCTCATAAAAAATACAATCGCCATTCGGAGTTGGCGTAAAACTGTAGGTCCCTCCGTTTTGTGTGACAACATCAAGGCGCACGCCACAAGTCGGAGGAGAAGCTCGGCCAAACACTAACATACATATGTGTAAGCGCCAATCTATTATTATTATTACTGGGGACCGTAGCAGATATAAAATATTTTATAATAAAAACCATATTTTAATTATTAATTATACTTTTTGGATCTTATAAAGTCAATTTTGTTAATTCTTAGACCAAGCCAAGTCGAATCAAATATTATGCTAAAAAACGCGGTTATTTGCTTACAAAACTGCTCTGCTTTTATTTCTTTATTTTCGCGCATCACCCTGGGGGGCTCTTTATAATTTTATATTGTAGATAATCATATCTGCGTGGTTGTCAGGATACATTTGATTTTCATGAAATCTACGAAAGTGTTATCATTTAATCCGAATAGCTACGAGCGTAAATTCGAAATTCGTAGAGAGCCTTCATTGAATCCATTAGAGCCGCAAAACTATCGATGGCACTATCGATATTATCGATAGTTTCAATCTGTCACCACCATCCATAAATGGCGGTCACTATCGCGATACTATCGGAAATCTTTTATTATTGCTTTTTTATTCCATTGTCCGATGTGAGTTTTAATTCCTTCAAGCCTTATCTGAGTATTTTTATATGTAGAAAATGAGCGGCATCTTCAACGAAAAATTGCCAAAACTCAACGGTAAGCCCTGGCTTTTCCAAACTAGCACTTTTTACTAAAATGTAATGGACTACAAAAGTGCATACTCAAAACTGTTTCTAAGAAATCTAAAACTCGAAATTTTCATAAAGCTTGGTCGAGCTTTCCAAATCATTGTAAAAATTTTTAAATTTGGACTTGCATAGTGCCGTAATACGGATCTCTCTTACCGATACTATCGAATGATAAGGTAATATTTAGATACCATTATCTGCTGATGAAGCGAGGAAATATTTGTTTAACAACAATTTATTAGTATAGTTATTAATAAAATCTAAAGTTTAAAAAATAAAATAAAAAATGCTAAAAGGTTCCGGATCTGTCAAATAGCACTTAAGTGCCATTGCGACTGTAGGTGAAGCGCGAGCAAAATGACATACACATAAGGCTTGATTCCTCGGGCTAAATCTAGTTAAACTGACAAAGAATAAAAATTTTCTCAGAGCGAATAAAAATTTGCTCAGAGCGAGAGAGTAACACTGAAAAGTACGGGATCGCTTTCTAGTAAAAAATTGTAGCTTCTGACAAGTAAACACACTCAGCTCACACATGTAAATAACCAAAAATACTTAGAAATTCATTAGATTGATTTTCAAACACACTACAGCTGGTTTGACACATTTACCAATAAAAAATTTTCGGGCGGAAATTGGGAACCGAGTACGGGTTCAATTTCCAGTAAAATCTGGTAAAAATAGTAAGTTGGGACTCATACGGGATCACGACTATACATATGTGTGTATGGATTCAGTGATAGCAATTTTTTCGTATTCGTAGCAGGCATTCGAATTCGTAGATTTTCTACGATGGATTCAGTGATAACCCTGAAAAACTTGATTAAGCTCGCCGTGTACAACGCAGTACACAGTTATGCTATGAATGGGAAATCAGCAAATGGTTTGAAAACTAATTCAGGTAGTGTTTGTAAAATGTTTAATACAGCTGTATCTGTAAAAATTTTCACACTTATTATTCGATTTTGCTAGAAACTATGACTCAACACTCCCATTCAATAACGTATTCTGATGTGAATCTTTTCTCAAACGTACATATGTACATATGCATGTAATTTATGGCAACTGTCAGAACAAATTTTGTTTGAATTATTTTTGCGCTATTTTTTTTTTTATAAAAGTGCGAGGAGTTCGATTTCAATGCAAACTTAAATCTACTGCATTCTATTTTCTCTACACACCTTACTAGTTGGTTATTTTGTCAGAGCTCTTTAGAGTTATGAACTTGACACGTACGAAAAAGAAAACTCGAATTCAAGTACAGTCATTAATACATATTTTAATTAATTATTGTATTTTTTTAGGCTCTATTATGTTCCACGTGAGGCGCCGGCCAGCGGACTCTCAACCGCGTCGACGTAAGAAGAAGCCGTTGGGTGCCTCTAATGGGACCAACAGCATATCCAGCGATCGAGAAGGGGCAGTGCTAGTGGAGGTAACGCACAGTGGCGATGGAGGACGTCGTATTAAACTCGGCAGTGACCCAATAGAGGTGAATAATGCTAAATCATAATTTCTGTTCTAAATAACGCTAAGTCGATATTTTCATATATATTTAACAGGTTGGATCAGCTAATACGAATTCGCTGCAGCTGTTTGGGCCATCAATTCAGCCACGTCATTGTCTAATTTCGTTGTTGGAAGGTGTTTGTACTGTGACCCCATTACATACTGATGCCCTGACCTTTGTCAATGGCCATCACATAACACAACCTACTATTTTGCATGTAAGTATCCTCCAAGCGTATAAATATGTGTGCGTAGTTAGTGCGCTAGGTAGTAATTTTTTTCGCTGTACTAGAATAAGACACAGCGACCTAAAAGATGTTTTGTATCTCTTGAAGAGAGTCCATAACCCAGTGTGGCCAAGATACCTTCGGATTCCCTAATGAATTCTAGGAGGGTCTTGAAAGACAAATTCCTTATAGCAAAGGGTTCGACCATTGAAGATTTAAAAGAAATCAGTCTTTTTCTGGCCGGACAGTAACAGAGAGTTGGCTCCGAGGTTTCGTCATCCGGTCAGGTACCCAGAAAGTAGCCTGATGTCTTTTATATTTGCTAAAACAATGTCGTTTCTGTTGAAAGGTTAGCCGAAGAGCCTGGCCTGTCTAAGGCGCCCCACCGCCCCCAGTACTTACTACGTTCCGAGTGTCGTCGGCGATCCCGTTGCCTTCGATTCCACAGCGACCTGGTACCCAGCACAGTGTTACCATGTTTTTGGCTGCCAAAATTTATAGCATGTCAAATCAGTCTCTAACCAGCTTGGATTTGATAGTCCTTTTTGAAAGGGCCCGGATGACTGCTTGGCTATCTGAAAAGGTAACTAGAAATGCGCCCTTTAAGCCCTTTTCAATGTTAAATTTTGAGCAGTTTAAAATTGCGACTATTTCAGCCTGAAACACCATTACAATTACAAGGTTAGGTCCAAAGATACCTGATCCTGCTGTATCCACCATCCTTAACCGTCTGTTTACCAGTGTACGTATCTGAGATCAAGTGCGGGGAGCCCATTTGCCCAATTTTCGCGATGTGGGATTATCACTTGGAACTTTCTGCCAAAGCAGACCTCCCAAGTCATAGAATCAGAGATTCCGCATATTTCCAACCCTGGTACCTTCGAAAGAATACCTTCATATGGAGAGGAGTCCATCCAAGGAGCGACTCTAGAGCCGCAGTTGAACACATTGTTATTGATCCAGTGGTTGATAGACAGGCCAATCCTTGCAGTTTGTTAAGGCGAGGTATGTGGGTTTTTGCAGTGTCTTCTGCCACTATGCTATGCATGCATAAGACACAATCGGACGGACCATCATACGAAAAGTCTTCTGCAGGCCCACGTGGGCTGTGTGGCTTTAGCAACCGTTCTCTCAAGATGGGAGTTCCAATTAAGTTCCGAGGATTTATGCTGAAGACCTCATTGGCACACCAGTTGGAGGAGCTGCACATGTAACGTCAGAGACAGTACTGCCGAATTTTCCCGTAACTGTAATTGCCAGGTCGTTTGCGTATCCCACAACTTCATAAATACACTCATGTAGTCTGACTAAGAGGTCGCCCACAACAAGTGACCAAAGCAAGGGAGAAAGGACCCATCCCTTGAGTATTGCCCAAGGAGGCATAGCGTCGATCCAACCAACAGTAGTAGTAGTAGGGTCAAAGCCTCTTTGGACCAATGCCCTTGAGATAGATCCATAGGCAGTATTGTCGAAAGCCCCTCGATGTCTAACAAGGTATACAGAGCGATCTCCTTGGCTGCTAGGGCACTCTCGATCGTACTAACCAGGGCCGAATCCGTTGATTTCCTTTTGACATAAGCGAATTGTGTGTAATTTAAGGGAGTGAAAGTGTTAGGCCTCTCCCTAATATGGAAGTCCAACAGTTTCTCTATAGTTTTGGGAGTGAAGGAAGTTAGGCTAATAGGTCTGTATGATTTAGCTAAGTCAAGAGGCCTATTGCCCGACTTCGGAATAAAAACACGGCCACCTTCCTCGAAGCATGTTTTACCAATATATTCCCAGCAATAACTAGCCCTAAATATACAGAGCAGGGGATCAATGATATCCAAAATACTTCTTTGCGGTAGTGCTGGGAAGGTCCCATCACCGCCCGCTGATTTGAAGGGTTTGAACGACTACCGCCCACCGTACCTTTTCTTCTAACTCTAGGAACTTGTGTTCGGAAGAGACAGGGGCCATTAGGTCATGCTCCACCAAGGAACCTGGGAAATGCACTTGAAGCAGGTGGTTTAGAGTCTCCCTGTTATCGTCGTAAAGGTGTAATCTTGCGTCCTAGGATGCCTATCTCGTTAAAAGACTCCTTTGATAAAATTGTATGCTTTTTAGAGGCGTAAGGCAACGTTTCTATTGTTTCACATTGTCGCCTCCATGATTCTCTCTTCGAGCGTCTAATGATTTTATTATAGTCAGTGAGGCAGGCCTTATACTCGTCCCATTTCTGTGTCCTTTTAACCCTGTTGAAAAACTTCCTGACAGTTTTGGGATTAGCGTCCAGTTCCCCGTTCCCCCAGGAAACTTTGTGATTCATCAAGGTGGAACAAGTAACTGTGCTGTCATGGAAGGATTCCAACAGCACTCTGTTAAGCAGATCCGCTGCGACCTCCATTTCGTCGATTGAGCCATTGGTGGATAGCAACGAGTCTGCTCTACCGTTCACTAAGGTTTTAAAAAGGGCCGAGCCAGTTTTTCTGGGCTGGAAAGTCAAGCCTCGGAGCTCAGATCGGCCTGGGATCTCTGAAGATATGTGTTGATGATCCAAGAGCGAAAATTGATCTGATGCAGAGAGCGAGATCTAGTATCTCCTCCCTGACGGCAGTAATAAATGTAGGTTTGCAACCCCTGTTCGCAAAGTCTATGTTGTTTTGTAAGAGATATTCTAAAAGGTACTCACCCCTTTCGTTGATATCCAAGCTTACCCACACCGTGTGGTGGGCATTCGTATCACAACCAATAACACTATGCGACAAAATCAAACTTGTTGGCTCGGTATTGAGTAAAACCAAATGCAAGTGATTATTTAAGATGTCAATAATACTACGTCAATGGCTTTTTTCGAGTTTAGCTCAAATAATTGAATCCTCGCACATCATTTATTGTTTCATTAGGCTAAGTTCTTGAGAAATATTGTTAGAAAATACTTATATAAGACTTTTTTGATACGAGGAATTCGATTTTGATGTTCGTTTATTATTAGCTTTGCGCTAAATGGCACTAAAGGCCAATTTTATTGAACTTCATTGAAAAAAATTTTCAAATAAATGCTCTAATTATAGGTCTTTATTAAAAAATTCAGTCGCGAAATGATTTTAAATACCGCAATTAATATTTTAAACAGAAATTAATTTATTTACTGTATTTTTTTTATTCTTTTTTTATTTTGTATTTTATTTTGATTTTCAAAATCATTGTCATCTGAAAAATATTCAAAGTTAATGCTTGCATTTACGTAATCAGCTGTAGCCATTATACACCAACGAATTTCCAACAATAATGTTTATGTTTCTTTCACAATTAACTATTTTTTAATTAAAACACCAAAGAAATCGAAAAATTGCTGTTATCGAAAACCCACAAAATTAAATAATTCCTCACAATAGTCGTTCCAGCGATTTTCAGAACTGTCAAATAGCAAAATTACACTCAAGCGAGAGTAATAAAATAACTATAACGATGATTTTGATAATCGAAATAAAAAGCAAATAAGAAGGAAAGTTTGAAAAAATAGTAGACAAAATAATAAAACAAAATACAGTAAATAAATTTATTTCGGTTTAAAATATTCAGTGTGGTGTTTTAAAATTGTAGTTTTAATACAAATAATGTAATTTTCACATCGCGACTGAATTTTTATTAGTAGAAACCTCTAATTTTAGTATTTATTTAAAAAAATTCAATGAATTGTAATAAAATTGGCCTACAGCGCCATCTAGCGCAGAGCTATTAAAATACAAAATTCGAATATGAATTCCTCCTATCAAAAACCTTTATATTAGTGTTTTCTAAGAATACTTTTCAAGAACTTAACCTAATTAAACAACAAATTGTATGCAAGGATTCAATCAAGGATATCTTCCTTATTTGAGCTAAATTTGAAAAAGCCATTAACGTAGTATTATAGACATCTTCAACTATCACTTGCATTTGGTTTAACTGAAACCGATTTCAGCTGTCGAACAGTGTAATAACTGGCGATTTGTGCGTCGACAGAATTCGACGAGCTACTGTACCTCCAATGGTGGTATAGTGGGGATGTCACCAGAAAAGTAGGCGGATGCAATTATGTATATATCGCACACCGTCTTCAAAAGAGTCACAACTCAAAATAATACGTATCTCAGAAAATGCGAAAAACTATTTCTTAGCACATAAAGAAAGGCAATATAAAGGTAAATAAAAGCGCTGTGTACATTTTTAAAGCATAATCTCAAATATCCCAAATTTTGAGTTGTGACTCTTTTGAAGACGGTGTGCGATATGTACTAGGGATGTTTCGGATGTCATATTTTTCACAATCGCGAATGTGAATGCGAATGTTAGGAATAACATTAAAAAAGCTATAATCAACTTAAGTCATCGTTTTTATTACTTACAAATGTTTATAAATTATTACAACATTGAACGAGTGCAGCGTTGCCACTAACAATTTTTCCCCCCTACCAATTTTTTCCCAAATCCGACCAAAATCGTTTACAACCTACCAAATAAATTTCAATTACAAAAAAGCATTCTGAAAGCATACAATTCCTTTATTTATTTAAGATTAAATGTTTCGAATACAAAACATTTACATACACACATATATGTACTTTGAACATTTTAAAACGAACAAGAAATAAATAAATGCAGATACAGTCTTAGGCACAGAGATTTAACATTTCTTGGTTGTATGAATTATATACATATGTACATGTTATGTATCAATAAGTTTAATTTCTTCAAAGTAAATTTAAATCATTTAATTACACATGCAAATCTTTAGCAGCCGACCCCACACATAGTGCGGGTCATTTTTGTTTACAAGTTCCTTGCATAACATTATGCTATTGATACTGTCAATCTTAAGTATATTTCTTAGTTTAGTTTTTATCATAGAACGCGTTGATAATTAGCCGCAGAGCTATGTGGTAATGAAATTATATTAAAAACAAAATTGGCGAGATGCACGAAGCTATTTCCATTTATTCCATTTTTAATAGAATAAACTTTTTCCC